TGTTTGGTGTTATGTCTAAATTGGGTGTGCCTTCTGTCGAGTTTTTAGTTGGTGGTTGCTCTAGATTTGCAAGTTCTAGAGGAGACGTATCGCTAATATCAGTATAGTCGTTTTCATACATATGAGTTGTAATATTGTTTATGTTAGTTTAACATAATAAATTTGAGATTTCAATAATAATAAATAAGTTTCAATAATAATTCACAATAATAATAGAATTTAATAAAATTCTCAATTATAACATCAATAAACTTCTTAGTAATAAGTTTAATATAAATTCTCAATAAAATGCAATAAATTCTTCAATAATAAGCTTTCTCAATAATAATCTCTTTCGATAATATATATTTTATATATTATATAAGCTGCATACACCAGTAATACATTCAATAATGATTCTCAATAAAATCTCAATAATAAATCTCAATAGTAAATCTCAATAATGATTTTCAATAAATCTCAATAATAATTCTCAATAATATTTTTCAATAGTTTCAATAATAATTTTATTACAACTCATATGTAATATTAAAATAGGTTAACCTGGTATGATGTAATGTGTACGTACACAGTCTTGATTTGTTATATTTTATAATTATAATCGTATGCTTACGCCAAGATGACTCGTGGAGTTGTTATATTTTAAAGGATGTAAGTGAATGTTGATTGATGTTGATTGTTTGATTGAAGTTGAGTGTTGATTGAAGTTGATTGTTGATTCCGCAAAGAAAAGTGATCAATTTTTTCTTTAATGAAATTGACTCAAAATTCCAATGAACGATGTTCGAAATGCCGACTGCGCCACTGTTACGTGGTACCCAATAAAAACAGGTACCTATCGTAATGATGTTGATGGATCAGGGTAAATTGATTCAATGATTAATTTAAACACTTGTAAACACTTTAATAAATACAGATACAAATACAGATACAGATATAGATACAGATATAAATTATAAATTCGCGCGCTAACAATATCGAAGACGAAACTCAGAAGGGCTTCGTCTGATAGCTGGACACGTCTGCCGTTGGTGGTGAAACGGAGCCTTTATATACTCTGTTTGATTCTATTTTAATTGCGTTGTTTTCGGCACGTGGCTATCCTTGGCCTGGTTGTCTTATTTGAACGATTGATGTTCGCGGTTTCTTGTGATCTGAGATTTGCGCGTGGCACTCGTTAAAGTTTATGTGTGCAATAGTTATTTTTGGTACGTTTTTATGACTCGGAATATGCGTATTATTACTTCTCAGTAATATATGCATATTACAATACCTACTGTTAAAAATTAATAAATTTATATTTATATATGACGGTACTAAATGTTTGTAAAATACTATAGAAAATTAAAATTAGCGATTCAGCATATAATCGCTTAGCATATGAACGGATAATCTGACAACTGATAAGTAACATAATGTTACGTCAACATTATGTGCCAATTTGTAGACAGAATGATTCCTTGTCACTTAAGGTAGGTTTTCTAAGCTGGGACTAAGCAGTAACGACCACGTGATTTACTGCTCTATAACTCTATCATAATAATCATATAAGCCTTGTCGTGATTTCTCCTAAGTCCGATCGACGAGTGCTTGTCAACATTAGTCGTTGTGTTTGATGATCGTAGTGCTCTGGAAGCAGTGTATTATTTGCGTGGCGTTTCGATTTTATTCCAAATGAAACTATTATATATTTTTATAAACGAACTTATTCAATAGAATAATATCAAAAACTTTATTCGCTTCAACTGACGATGAACTCTATGTGGAATGAGTCTTATATATAATTGAAGTATACATTATTTCTCCTTCTTTCTCCACTTTTAATAAATATATGACTACTTTTATTATTATTTGTAATTACTTGTTCCATTTTTAGTGATCAATAACGGTAGATAAAAAATAAAATTAGCGTGTGCACAATGAAATATCGAGCTGAACCAAACTAAACTGAAAATAAATGCCCGCCGCAACATTCAGTCTTGGAGTAGGAAACCAATATACGCTCAACGATCAGTCGTTGCCGCTAGTCACAGCTCAGAAACCGTACCTTTAGATAAATGTATTTTTAGCTAAAAAATACGATTCATGTAATCAATTCAATTGTTCGTAATTTAATATATCAATGTATAATTTCTGTAATGTTTGATTGTCCCATACTAAACAGTAAAAACATTTTGTTTAATTTTATTTCAGCTCGAATAACTTCTAGTAGCTTTATTTTTAAATGATTGTATTCGATAAATTAATTAATTTTCACATGTTTGCAATTTTAGGTATCAGTGAAAGTTCCAGATGTAAGTTTTACGAACCTTTTGGTAAAATCGCTCCAGGAATTTAAATGTATGTTACCTACTATGATGTTCGGTATTTCTATACCTACAGATGAAAATGTCGTTATAAATAGTAAGCTTATTACATTACAATAAATTGAGAACTATGATTATATTTTTGGACCCAAGTTAAATAACCAATTTATATAATTTTTATCAGTGTCGACTCCAATATATTATAATTTGGTACCTGTGTGGAGCGTACGTGAATATCTCGCCGCCGACCGACACACACACACACACACACAAACACTCGCGCACATTATAGCCGTTATTTTTGTATTTATTTTTGTTTTTATTATATTTTGTGTTGTGAGTTATATAATATGCTAATCAGTTACCGGCGCGTTATCTGCTGTCACCGGCTCACAGTTGCACGTATTTTAACACGGCCGCCGCAATTTTTGTCGCTGTTCGTCCGTCGTCGTGAGCAAAACGTCGCGAAATTAAATTTACGTTTTTGTTACCAGGCGCGAATCGCCAACATTTTTTTTAATTTTTGTTATTGGTATTTATAGTGTGCGGTAATCGCCACTGATTTATATTTTATATTATTTTATTGGTTGTGAGCGCTAAGTGCCACATATTTATATTTTTTGTGTATCTGCAGTGTATTTAAGGTTCTGGTAGCGGCTGGCCAGCAGTGCTCCGATTTATCCGTGAGTTATATTTCTTAATTATTATTATTATTGTTTATTATCGTGCCATAAGGGCCGCATATTATATTATTTTTTTATTTTCTTGTTATTTACACTTGTTGGGCCAGAAGGGCCATACATACATATTATATTATTGTTATTTTTATTTATGTGTGTGTGTGTGTGTGTGTGTGAATTATTCGAACAATTGTATATATTATTTTACTGTACAGGTCGTGATAACCGGCCGCAGTAGACAATTTACTTACTATTACCTACTCATTATATTATTTATTTACAATTTAATTGTTCGGCCAATTCATTACCACACACAGTTACCATTTTTATTATTATTTATTTTATTATTACATTCAATTTATACATTTTTACGTGTTGGGCCAAAAGGGCCGTAATTTAAATCATCATCTTTTTAATTATATTTTGTGTTGCCGTGAATTATTTATTTTATTATATCATTATTATACAGCAACACTAATTACTATATTTTGCGTCATAATTTTTATTTTTATCTTAGTTACCTTTTCTGTTTTAGTTTAAGCACACACCCACACGAATACACACATACACACACCACTTACACGCATAGTCGGACAGTAGTCGCGCGGCGATCCCAACCACTGCTGTCCGATCTATTTACAAAATACACACATTTTACAAAGGTCGGTCGGTGTGTGAGTGCAGCGTACGGAGTATTTAGGTAACCGGGCGCGCGTATCAATGCTTTACGCTCCCGGTCCGTACAATCAGGATTACGAACTTCCAGTATTTTGTTTCAAAAAATAAACTTTTAGGGACTTCCTGAATTTTTTATTTGATGAATTGGCAGAATATAATTATAAATTGTATATTTTTTCTATATTTTACTCTACATATTTGTAATTCAGTTTTGTTTTTTGTTTTTCATAAAAGATCAATTTTCGCTAAATATATGTGAAATACATTTCGATCACTTCCAAAATTAATAATCATATTTTTATAAATATAAATGTATGTAAAATCTAAACTTGTTTAGTTCTTCGTAATTCGTCTGTATTATGACAATTATTAATACATAAAATTAACACAGACTTTTTGCTTTCAATTTTAATCTAAATGGTCTTGATACCAACCAGGGCAGTATTTAAGATTTTTTCGCCCACGGGCAACAATATTTTGCCTCCCCCATTTCCAATGTAATATATAAGAACTCCAAAGAGAGTCAATTATGTATTTTTAACTACTCAACCAAAGCCGGTCGCTACGCTCGCGAATAACTTCCCATTTGTTTATACCTTAACACAAAACGTATTATTAACGTACTAAAATGTATTATAGTTATATAAATATTTATATATATATAAGTAGGTATATAAATGTATTACCTATGATTTCTTACCATTACCGAATAAGTAGAAAAAGTAAATTAATTTAAATTAAAATGTTTAAAATATAACTTTTTAAGTCCGGATAATAAATAATGGCAAGCCATATTTGGGTTACATTTATATTTTATGGTGATGCATGTGAAAAATCCTATAAAACTGTAGGTACACAAACTATTAACCAACAAAACTAACCAAATTAAAAACAATATAAGTTTGCCTTTGTTCTTTACACATACCAATAATATATATGAATGAATACAAATTACATTTTATCAAATCATTTTCAACATAGGCCATTCTACCAAGTACCAATACAGTGAATATATTTTAACTTAGGAACACATTGATTTCTAGCAAGTAAAATTAAATTTATCAAATAACATAGTATTCCAATTTGTATGATACAACATCTCTACATTTTTAATAGTAAATAAAGAAAAACAAGAACTTACAACGTAAGTACTATTTACTTCTTATAATAAACATATTCAATAGTATGAACAGTGAATTATAACAAACAATAAGATTTTTTTCTATAACTTTTTTCTAGATTGAATAGTAGCAAAATTATCAATAATGTCTTCATATTTAATTTGTTTTGTTATTTCTGATTCAATATTCAATATAGAAAGTGCATTTAATCTCTCTTAAGATATTGTTGATCTTACATAAGATTTAATACGACGTAGAGTTGAAAATGACCGTTCAGAAGTACAATTTGAACACGGAGTACATAAAAACATGTGTAAAGCAAAACTCACATAAGGGTAGATGTCTTCTAATTCTTCTGTTTTTAACATAGAACTCATAGCAATTATAGTTGTTGGAGGATTTTTTTTTACTTTTAATGTAACTTTGGAAATGAACACATTCATTAATAAATACTACGAGTACATCTAAATCTTTTTTATATATTGAACACAAATGTTCCGCTGAAACACGAACTTCTGATGATTTTATCTTGGTAAGTTTTAAAAAAAAACTATACTTAAGATCACATTATCATAAGTTAACTTTCTACTTGTTAATTCTTCTATTAAAGAATCACATATCACAAAATATGTATTTACTTTAAATTCTAAGCTACCGGCTAAATTAATTTCATTATCATAAGTTGTTTCATCATGATATTTTGACCTTCTTTTTATACGTTTATAAATTGTTTCATATATATTTTTACACATTCTCAAGGCTAGTTCTTCTTAATGTGTAAACATATCATCTGAACGGAGATTTATCTTATCAATGATTCATATTGATCACAAACAGTACATCAATATTAATACATCAATACATCAATATTAACAGATTGTAGATATTTACTAGCTACATTAAATCGTTGAAGTATATTACCCCAAAATAATGACATAAAGGTAACTTCAAAACGGTTCATCAATTTAAGCAAACCACGAGCTTCATTATGGGTATTAGGTTTTTCATTTATATTTTCTGATAAGTCACACAATCTTTGTTTAATATTATCCCAATTTTGGTTCAGAGCTTTACATGCATCATCTCGTGCGGACCATCTTGTATCAGAGAGACTTTTTAAGGTTAAATTTACTTTAAGTAAGTTCAAACGATGAGTAGATGCAGCAAAAAATGTATAAATATTCTGAATAAAATTAAAAAATATATTGGCTTCCTTGCAGAAACTTGCTGCACATGATCCTACTAAATTCAAAGAGTGTGCTGAACAAGGAACAAAGTCAGCTAACGGGGAAATTTCTTTAATTCTAGCCTGGAGGCCTGAGTAAAGACCAGACAGATTTTTCGCTTTGTCATATGACCTCTTAAATATGTAATATCAATATTAAATTTTTTTAAAATAGAAAATACTGCATCAGCCATACACTGGGATTTATGCCCAATATTTTCTAAAAAACATAAAAATCTTTCTACTGGTAAACCTCCATTATTTACATACCTTAATAAAAAGAAAGTTGATCAACGTGTGCAATATCTGGAGTTGAATCAATAATTATAGAGAAATATTGTGCACTTATGACTTCTTCGACTATTTTATTTTGAACTTTAGATGCCATCAATTTAATAAATTGTTCATAAGTTGAATGAGATAAGTAAGAAGTATGACCTTTCCCAGGATTACCATAATTTGATAAATGATTGACCAAAAAAGGATCAAACTCAGCGATCAATTCAAGACACATCATAAATTTACCATTGTGCGGTGAACCAATATTTTCATTGTCACCTCTAAAAGG